GAGCGGTTTCTGGGGACTCCCCTGGACCTGCTGTGTCTCCGAGGGAGGGCTGGAAATCCTCACTTCCACAGGCCCCTGGAAATGCCCCGCCCTGCCCTACCCTAGAGCTTTCCAAGGAGGCCTTTAGTTGGTGCTCAAAATGTCAGCGTGAAAATACAGAGGGTCTGCCTTGAGAGGGGCAGGTTTCTAAAACAGTGAAGGAAGCAGACCAGTGTTGAAGGTGGGGTGGGCGGGCACAAGGCGCCAACTGTCACGGGAGCTCCCCTGAAGAGCAAGGCCCAAATGGTCTCCTGGACCGGTCTCATTTCCTTCCTCCCTGTTTGCTACATCTGGTTTTTTAGCGCTCTCTCTCTCTCTCTCTCTCTCTCTCTTTCTCTCTCTGTTTATTTAATGAGCAAGCAAGAAAGAGACAGAGGCTGAGGAACAGGCACCTCTGACAGGGTCTTGACACAGACCTGCCCCCAGCCCCTGATCCTGTGCACACCTGTGCCATGTGTGTTCAGGGAGGACTCTGTGCAGACCTTCCACGTGGGCCAACCTCTCAGGCTGTCATGGCCCCCTACTCCGCCATCTAGCCCTGGTTTTCAGCCCGGGGAGTGTGTGTGTCCCAGCTGCTATCTGGGTTAGAGCAGGTGCGGGTCTCAGCAGAGGGCGCAGGTGTAGAGCCTCCCCCTTATCCAGGAGAGCTGCGTTCCAAGATGCCAGGAGAGGCCTGAGACTGCAGAGTGCCAGGTCCTGTGTGTACTGTGGTTTTGACCCTATAACCAAAGCAGCTACTCAACAACCAATGGCCGGATACAGGGTGAATAACTGGGGAGAGGTGAGACAGAGGGGGACACGTGAGATTTCCTCATGCTACTCAGAATATGCAACTGCAAACTTACAAATTGATCATTCCTGGAATTCTTCATTTACTGTTTCAGATCTCAGTTGATGGCAGGTCATTGAAGCAGAGATAGAGACACCGTGGATGGGACAGGTTGGCCCTCTACGCATTCCTGGCCAATGCATGAGCCTGTGCCCGCCCACCCCACCCCCAGCACTGCTCTGCTTCCTTCACTGTTTTAGAAACCTGCCCCTTCCGAGGCAGACCCTCTCTATTTTCACTCTGACATTTTGAGCATTAACTAAAGGCCTCCTGAGCCTTCATGACAAGTCTAGGAGGAAAGTAGTGAAGCCCCCTGTCCATTTTGCAGATGGACAGGCTGAGGCCCAGAGCAGTCAGGTGAGGTGCCATGGTCAGAGGGAGTGCACAGACCCCAGGAGAACTGCTGGCCAGGCAGTCGATGCTGGGCCACCCCGTCCATCTGTCCAGTGCCCCTCACCAGGTCTCCATGCTGCCTGCCCACCTGTCTCGTCTCCCTGCCCCTTCACCTGGCCCTGTTCACAGCTGCGTCCAGGAGTCTGAATCTACACTCTGCACGTGTGCAGAATCAGGGAGTATTAGGTTCCACCAAGGCTCCGGAGAGGAAGTGAGGAGCCGTTCTGAGACTGCAGTGCCAGCTGCACTGTGGCTGAAGAGTTCTGTTAGACTGATTCGCAGCTCCATTCACGGGCCAGAGCAGAGAGCAGTTTAGGTCTCTTCTGCAGTGAAAAGCAGCATCCCAGGACTGAGTGTTTTTGTACAACCTCCCAAGCCATCAGGTGTGTCATAGTAAGGAAAAATTTCCTTCTAGTTTCATGCTGGTAACAGGAAACTGAAAACTGAAAGAAAACAAACTGCCCCTTTTCACTGTGCATACTGAGACTGCCAAAGACACTTAAAATGTAGGACCTGTAGGTCGTAGTCAGGAGCTTACATCTGCACCAGACGCTCCCTCCGTGCAGAGGACAAAGCACCCCATTGGACTGTCGGGCAGATCCTCCTGGCACCCTCTCCCAGACACCTTTCACAAGAGCAGGGCTGTGGGCTTCTCTCTGCTGCCGAGAAGGACATGAAATAAATCCCAGGCCGAGACACAGGCCAAATGTTCGGCCTGTACCAACTGAGTTCATCGTAGCTGCAGGTCAGTGAGGTCAGTAGGTACCATCCCACATCACAGGTGAGGAAATTGAGGCCCAGAGAATTCCAGGGACTCACCAAGGCTGCACAGCTGGTTGCAGAACCCAAGCAGAGCCGATTTTGCCTGACCCGGCACCTCGCCAGGTGAGCATCTTATCACAGCCGCGGCAGCTCTCCTGTCTGGCGGAGGCCGACGCACCCTCGGGAGCGCGGAGGCGTTAAGCCAAATGTCCTGGGAGCCTCAGGCTGGAGGGCAAGTGCTCCTCGGATGACCATCCTTGAGTCCCCTTCAGATTCAAACCAGCGGGAACCTGAGCTCCCGAGTTCTCCAGCACAAAACACAGTGCGGGCCCACAGCGGAGCGCGGTGAGCATCTGACGGAGGGAGAGGGAGAGCTGGAGCGGAAGTCACGTTGATGTTAGCCGAAAGCATGGCATCGGTTGTCACAGTCATGAGTTACCAGATAATCTCAGGACACCTGTGTCTAGTCAACACTTTCAGCAGTGTGCCTTGCTGGGAATCTTGTAAGATCTGTCTCGGGAGCCCACTGCGTCACCTCGTTGTGTCACCCCAAGTCTGTTAAATATTCGAATGTATCTAACAGAAATTATTTGGATCATGGGAGAAATGGCTGTTTCACACTGCTGTCAAATATTTATTGGGAGCTTAGCTCTAAGGACTTTTTAAAGTTAATTGGGTTCTTCTAGAGACTAGACATAATTTTTCTAGGGCTTCCTAAGCCCAAACGAGTTATTGACGTTGGATTGAAACTCCAATTCCAGAACTCAGTCTCTTCTTTTAAAACGAGGTCTGCTAAAATCCAGTCTGACCCTGAGGACAGAAAACAGATTGGGTAATCATTTAGCAGGGAGCGAGCTCGTTTACCGCACCTTGGTTTGGTGAAAAGCAAACCGTTCTCCCACGGCAAATGCGTCCTCCTTACTGGGACAGTCATTTTTACTGCACAGGATTCTGCCTGTTGATTTAACTGACAGCTGTGCTTCCTGTGAAGGAAAAAGATATTTTCCAACTGACTGTACAAACCTCCAGACCGTGTCTCCCCCGTAAGTCATGAGACAAAAATGATAATGGTGAGCTTTGACAGAAAAGCGGACTGTTCTTACGAGTGCCATTTTGCATTTGAACCAAAGTCGGCTTGCGATCTGCTTTGGATTCCATTTTGTAAATTGTCCGGTTTTCTCCTGTGAGTGTGAGTGCGGGTGTTTGGGGTAGCACCATTCACTCATCTTTTCCTAGATAGTGTGACTCACTGGGGACAGAAAGCAAGTTTCTCCCTCTTCATCAGGAATTCCACTCCTCCTCATTCCTGTTTGTATTATGTAGGACAGAGATTGTCAGCTGGGGGCAGTTCTGCTCCCCAGGGGACATGTGTCAAGGACTGGAGGCTTGGAGGCTGGGACCGTGCACTTGGACTAGGCCAGCACCCTCAGATCCCCGTCCTCTCCCTGGGCTGTGTCTTGTCTTTTCTTTTCTTTTTTTTTTTTAGAGATTTTTGCTATAGAGCATACGCTCACTAGAGAGACAGATGAAAAGTGAGAAATCACCCCCTGACCCTGAGAGGAGGGCCATGCTGCGGTCCCTTCTCCATTCTCCTCTCAGGATCTTAGGCATGCATGCACACGTACCCAGTGGTGTGAGTTTTAAGTTACTGAGTCTGGAACTCAAACCGTAGTTGACTTTGTGGGAGTCCAGCAACGTAACCATTACACCATCTACTGGTCCCTTGCCTGGATCTTGAGCACATGGTTTCAGTCCACTGCCTCCATCTTTTTCCCATACAACCCTACTGTCCCCCGAGAGTTGGTTTTTAGCTTCGCCTTCTGTGGAGAATTCCCCAAGGTCATCAGGTGCTTTTTCTTTGTCCCTGAGACCTTTCTTGACCTCTGACCTCTGACCTCTGACCAAGCTCCCTCTGTGACCCAGTGGGATGAAACACTTGTCTCAGAAATCATGGCCGAAGGCCCTGATTCCACGTCTCCTGTTCTTTTCCCAGCTACTTTCCAGGGTCTCCAGTGAACGCCCTGCACCGCCTGTGCCCTGACTGAGGGCAGGTCCCCAGTGCACCCTCGGAGACTCCCTTTCCTTTACTCCCTGTGGAGCCCTCCCATGTCCATGAGCAGATGCTCTCCACGTGAACGTCAGTCAGTTCCCACCCTCCACCAAAGCCTGACGGCTCTCCTGCATCCTCCTAGCCTCTTCCTGTCAGTCACTCACTGCCGCTTTCAGTGTGAATGTTTGACCAATATGTACTAGGTACTCGGGCAGACACTTCACTGTGCAGACAGGTCAACAGAGCAGTTTCTGCCCGGTGGAGCCCACACCCTAGGGCAGGAGGACTCCTCAGAGAACAGCAACATTGACTTCTGCGCTAAAACTGAGGCCACCGTGCAGGCTGCAGGTGCAGAGCAGATGGACCTGTGCCCAGGACGCCAGGCACTCACTCTGCAGCTGAGGTGGAACCTGTTCTTCATGCTGCTGGTGCACCCTGTCTCTGATACTGGGGCAGTGGGGACCTTCCAAACATGTAAACTAGTTGTATGAATTATATGCATGTATTAATAGAGAATCTTTATTTAAAACAAAGGACCAGCAGGTGGTGTGTTGGTTAAGGCACTAGACTCTCACATAGTCAATTACAGTTTGAGTCCCAGACCCAGGGGCTTGAACTCACTCTGAGCACATGTGTGCGCCAAAATCCTGGGAGGAGAATGGAGGAGAAGAGATTGTGGTGTGGCCATCCCACTTGGAGAGTGATTTCTCACTTTCCTTCTCTGTCTCTCTCTTACATGAGCACATGCACTCTATGACAACAACGTAAAAAGAAATAGAAACTTTTGAAAAGATTAATTTCACAAATAAATATAATTATAATAGCTATTAAAATGAATGCTAAACATAAACTGGCAGCAGGAAACATATAAATTACTAGTAAATGCAAGGAATAATATATATTACTAGTAAATGCACTATACATAGAAATCCCCACTTACCCTTTTGACACCTTCAGGGTCTCCAGTGCTTCCTCTTTACTCCATAAGTCTCTTATTCTCATGGGATAATGAAGCACTTGAGAATGAGGAAAGGCAGGAAATTATTACCCTCTTATTAGTTCATAGAATTGCCATGACCATAGACTGGGTGCTTAGACAGTAAAAATTTATCTTACAGTTCTGGATGCTGGAAGTCCAGGATGAATGTTTTGAGAGGGTTGTTTCCTTTGGAAACCACTCTCCTTGCCTATAGATGGCATTGTCTTCCGCTGTCTTCACATGGCCTTTCCTCTGTATGTCTGTTCTAATAAGCACACCAACCCCAGTGGATGCTTATAGGATTAGCTCCACTCTAGTGATCTCTTACCTTTCAAGACCTGATCTCCCAATATAGCCGCATCCCAAGGTACTGGGGTACTAGGGTCAGGACTTGAACACAGGGCCTTGCAAGAGACACAGTCCGGCCCCTAACATGGTCTCCCTAAAGGTGCAAAGAAAGGTAAGTGGTGCCAGAACCAGGCCGAGCTGCTACAGGGAGATGAGACCCAGTTCGTATAGACCACCTGCAGCGCACTGCAGTGCTGGATGTGGCAGAGCGCCTTCCCGACTGGAGCTCAGGTCTGTGACTCAGGGTGGCTCACACCATCTACCTGTGTTGTTTTACATAGGAGCCCGAGCGGCAGTACATGCACATAGGCACCATGGTGGAGTTTGCCTTTGCCCTGGTGGCAAAACTGGACGCCATCAACAAGCACTCCTTCAATGACTTCAAGCTGCGCGTGGGTATGTCGGGCTCAGAGATCTGGGTTCTGGTTGTGGTGAAGAAATCCAGATTTTTAAAAAGTTGTTCTCTTCTGTTGCGGGCTATGTCCTGAATTAAAAACCCAGTAAGACTTTACATCTCTTTAGCAAAAAATATCTCTTCTCTACATGTGCTATTATTAATAGTTGTCAGCACTGAGCACATTTTTCTCTGTATGCTCTTACCTCTGCACAGTGGACCATTACCAGGAGCTGCACCATACACAGAGGTGGGGCAGCCGGGCAGGCAGGATACCTCCTGGGGCAGCCTGCTGAGCACATCAAATGCTGGGGTGTCCCCTCGACCATAGAACATGAACTCCTCAAATTATCGTACCAACCTTCATTAAAAAAAAAAAAAAAAAGCTAATTGGGCCGGTCCTATGGCTTAGTGGTTAAGGGAGCTAGATCCCGCATGACTGATCATGCAGTTCAAATCCTGGCCCCAGAGGCTTAAAAAACATGCCAAGTGCATGTGTACGTGTGCCCCAAATCCCAACAGCATGGAGAGATGGAGGAGAAGGGATTGTGACATAACTACACCCCAATAAGGGGTGCTTTCTTTCTCTCCCCGTCTCTGTCTCTGGTGAGTACACATGCTCTCTAGCATTTTTTTTAATGCGTTCAACACAGAGGAGTGAACTCCTCTATTCTCAAGTATACATGGGCCAAAGTAACACTGTCCTGCACTGCCACAGGGAAAGACGGTCATTCCTCAGCCACATTTGCTATGGCAAAGCACTGTTTTCTTGGTCTAGACTCTAATATTTTTTCAGATTAAAGTGAACAGTTGAATGACCCTCCTTCAGTAGGAGTTTATCGAGAGCCTACTTTACCCTGGTTGTTGAATGGCTGGTAATACCTGTACCCTCAACCCACACACCAGTCTCTCCAAATTTCTAAGAAGGCCTAAGCTCAACATTGCACTTGGCTTTCAAGAAACTTTCCTTTCCCTAAACCCTCAGCCTCTTCGGGAGGTGGCTTCACTGTTCTACCTCACGTGATGCGTGGTGCCATCCAGTGGTAGCTTGTGGGTAGGAACTTGGAGGGACCAAAGTGCCAACAAAAAGAGTTGGTACAAATACCACCAACCGAATTCGCTCTTGGCAGCCTTTTCTGCCTGGCAGGCTGCAAAATCAGTTAGTTCATCACCTGATGGAGCAGACTCCTGCATGACCTGGAGGTGGCCCCTCTGCAGCAATAATGGTCCCCTCACCCTGGAGTCACTGGCCCAGCTGGAGTCACCACACCCAGAGGGAAAGCTACTGGGTGAAGGCTGCACCCAGGCCGGCGTCTGCAGCTAGGGTCTGGGCACAGACCTTGCAAAAGAGGTGAGATAGATTATTTGGCATGTCTGAGGCAGATGCGTGCATTTTATTGAGTGCTCCATGAAAGCAAAGGAGATTTTATTTCTCACCGCTTTCCTATCTATGAATACTTGATGGGGCAGCATTTGGACTGCCCGCTGGGTACCTCTCCATGCAGTTCGGGAAACTCTGCCTGAAACCTACAACAGGCTGTCTGATGCTGGGCACTTCAGCAGTCAGACACAAAGCTCTCAGAAACATCATCAACCAATACAGTTTGGCGAATGCAGTCGCGGGGAGTCCCAGAGCTGACAGAGATGTAGGGAGCTAGCCAGAATCACAGTCTTTGTCACGGCCCTTCTTTGCTCTGCTCCCAGATCTGTGTTTTTGAGCTGAATCCTCAGGACAAGTCATCTGAGCTGGGGTGAGACAGAGCCCAGGCCTCTCCTCGTTGAATCAATCAGACTCTCACGGTTTCGGCTCCTGTGGGCAGATGCCACTCTGTGTCCTGCACAGCATTAAAGCACACCCTGACCCTAGATGTGCAAGTAGAAATCACGGTTGCACTATTACTGTTACTAGGGCAAGGAAATCAGACCAGCTGCTGTCACCTTCATTACTAGGGACAGCACTGGGGCCTGATTATCAGAGGAAGTAACACGTGCCCCAGGAATCCAAGAAATCAGCCATGCCTTGGCAGGAACCAGGCCAGCTGGACCATGAGAGGTGACCTTGTGAATCCCCCGGGGCCTCAGGTGAAGTCTCCCCGGAGAAGCTCAGTTCATGCTCATACCCAAGCACAGAGTGAGGGCTGATTTCCTCGCTCCAACAAGGGCACAGCTGCGAGTCAGCTGCAAATGGCCAAGAGACCAAGCAGCAGGGACTGGCAGACCTTCAAGTGCAGACACTGCAGGTCACCTCTTCTCACTAGGGGTCTCAGTCTGTCCCCTCTGGCTGCCCCAGAGTCCTCCCAAAGTGGACAACTCCTGAAGATCTCTTAGTCCCTTCAATTCTACCTTCTCCTCGTTTCCCAGTTGCGTATTTGACATGCCTGCTGTTTTCCCATGGGCAAAACCTCCCTACACTTGTATTCCATCAAGATCTTCTTATCACATGCGTTAAGATTCTTTCTCAATGCTGACATGGGTGGAACCCTTCACAAGCAGTAGAGCAGATGGGCAAAGCCTTGGAAAGTGGTTTAGCCATGGCAGTCACCACCACAGACACGTGAATTAGGTAAACCCACCAAGGGGATGTTAGGAAAGGCAAAAACCCTAACCCTGGCCCCAGGGGCTGACAGTTCCTGTCCTCTCTCTCCTGCTCATGCACAGGAGTCGACTTGTTGGGCGCTGGGGCCGTGGGGCCAGCTGCCTGGCTCAGTGTCCTGCCCTGCCACCCACTACCTGTTTAACCCACTTTTGCTGTGTCACAGGTATCAATCATGGGCCTGTAATTGCTGGTGTAATTGGAGCTCAGAAGCCACAGTACGATATCTGGGGCAACACCGTCAATGTGGCCAGCAGGATGGACAGCACCGGAGTCCTGGACAAAATCCAGGTAAGGCAGTCTGTCCCACGGCCTGCGTGTACTTGAATAAGTACCCTGAATAGGTGTAATTGTGAAAAGAATATAGTAAACGAAGGAAAGAAAGGAGACCTTCAAATTTCCTTAGATCTTTTTACTGGGGAGATGTTCCTGCCTGCATTGACTGTAAGGGGTTCCAGGGCTTTCCAGTCACTTCTTGCTCTCGGAATTCCCATGCCAGTCTGATTTAGTATTGCCACCAGTCGTCTTTTCACCTCTTGCCTCTCCCAGTCCACACCTTCCTTCCTCCCTCAGCTCCGCCCGAGAGAGGAGGCCAAGAAAATGCCAGTAATATAAAAAAAAACTATTGTGTTTCTGGAAACAAAAGATCAGCAGCCACCAACCACCATGGCTGCACACAGCCGGGGGCATCAAGTGCACGAGTGGAGCCTCCTTTCCTGTTCTTCTCCCAGCCTCGACACCTCCAAATGGGCTGGCAAGGAAAAGAGATCAGGCCACCAAGAGCAGACGTTCCCTCCTGGCCTCCTCTCTCGGGCGGAGCTGAGGGAGGAAGGAAGGTGTGGACTGGGAGAGGCAAGAGGTGAAAAGACGACTGGTGGCAATACTAAATCAGACTGGCATGGGAATTCCGAGAGCAAGAAGTGACTGGAAAGCCCTGGAACCCCTCCAAGGGAGTGGAAAGGAGACCTGACAAATTAAAAGCAGAGACCAGAGAATAATAAAATTATTATATGTCAATATTCCCATTGCTCATTAAAACAACTGCAGCCAGAGTTGGAGTAACTATAATGAGCACCAATAATATTGTAGGAAAAAAGTATTGAAAGTTGCTGTAAAGAAAATAGAAAAAAAAAATCGTCATTAGACTGTGCTGAAACTCTGCGGGAGAGCAGTGGCCAGCCTGGGGGGGATCCAGGATAGCATCAGGGAGAACCGGGAACAGGGGGAGGGAGGCCACCCAGACAGCAGCTCCATCCAAGCACGTTTGCTCTCTGATTCACTCAACGCCCTTTTCTGCTCCGCTCCCTCGCCAAGGAGTAGCCAGGGCTCAGCCGACCTGTCTCACACAGCGAGTGACCTGTCAGAGATGGAGATGCAGTCGCCCACCGAACTCACAGCTGGGTAATTGGGAATGTGATAAAGCCACACTGAGAGACCCGCATCTAGTCCGTGCACTAGGGAAGGCTCCTGGAGGACGGGGCTTTGGAGAAGCATCAGAGAAAATAGGAATTAAGGATGGAAAAGGAAACGGAATGTGAACGCCACCTTTTCAAGGGAGGGGAAGTGAGATCCAGGAGCCGTGGAGAGTCACTGAGGACGGGAGAGGCCCACGGAGGAATGCAGTGGAGGGAGAAGCTAAAACAAAGGTAGCGTAAGCTTCGTAGGTGAGAAGAGAGTGGGCTCCCGGACCAGGAACCCATCTGCCCCATCAATGGCTAATGCGAGATAATGACGAATGAGGGGAGCGAGTGATCTGTCAGAGACAGAGACGGTGAAAACAGGAAGCTGTGGGTTTTTCCAATATTTGAAAGAAAGAAACTCAGTTAAGAAAAAGAATACTAAGTGAAGATATGATGCCATTAACATACACTGTTTTATATTTTTGGGTGATCTGTGAAGAATGGTAAATACGTTGCCAGGGTTTAGATGGAACTTTAAATATATTTACAGCAAAAGACATCTTTGTACTACAGTTTAGAAATGCTGTGTAAACTATGGTAGGCATTCTCTGTCTCTCTGTAATTGCCAAAGGCATATGTACTCACCAGCGAAAGACAAAGACAAAGAGGGAGAAAGTAACACCCTCCCCCCACCCCAGTGGGGCGCAGTCATGTCACAGTCGCTTCTCTTCCATCCTGTAAGGATTTGGCGCACGGGCACACGTGTTCCTGGCCTGTTTTTCAAGTTCCTGGGGTTGGGATTCAAACCATGGTAGGCCATGTGGAATCTGCCTCCCTTAACCATTAAGACTGCAGGGTCAGCCTCAGATTATCTTACTTATTCCCGTCCTCCACTCCATACTGAAAGTCACTTAATGGGTTTTGATTGCTTATAGAGAGTCCGTCTACTGTTTTCATGCTAGAGAAGTCTGAAGACTGCACCATAGTGGCACAGGACGTACCAGTATATAGTCTGTCTTACTCAGGGACAGGTCCACCCAGGAACATGGAAGGCATTTCAGGAGAGTCTGGAAGTATCTGGTTTTTGTGACCCTTACTTGGTTTCCTCAGAATCCTAGATTTCATTAACTGGAAATCAGAGAATATCCATCCACCTTCAGGGGGACACAGGTGAGAGGAAGTGGAACTGCTGAGCTTGGAGAGCAGGCTCCTAGACCAGGAACCCATCTGCCATGTTAATGGGAGACAATGAAGAGTGGGGGGAGCAGAGGAAAAACAGGATGCTGTGGTTTTTTCAATATTTGAAAGAAGGAGAACTCAGCTAAGGGAGAGAATATGAAGTGAAGGCATGCATGCCCTTATTTTACACATACATTATTTTATACCGTGGCAATCTCATCACCAGCCACCGTACTTCAGGGACCTGGCCAAGCACAGCGCCAGACAACTGGAGTGAGGGGCTGGGCTGCCCACATGAGAGGGAAGCGTGTGCATGTGCATACATATGTGTATGCGTGTGTAAGTGCATGCACTTATGTGTGTGTGCAGCTAGGCTGAACTTTCATTTGCCTCACTCTGAAAAAGCAGTGGCTGGGTTTCGCATGTCACCCCAGCGATGTTGCACACTGGAGCATAAATGTCTGCTAATGGCAAATTTGAGTGAAAAGCACTGACACGCATCACATACTTTATGATGGCTGTTCTTTTGGGGGTTTTGATAGGTCCCTATACTGCGTGCCTCAGCTTGGCTAAGGCCATCAAATCATGTTGCCTCCTAAAATCATGAGGCAGTTATACAGGTCTTGTCTTTAGCAAAAGACCACCCACTCTGGCAACGCTCATGATAGGGTTTCCACCGAGCTCTGCTTACTCCCTGCCTTTCACGTTACTTCCCCTCGTGCATCCCCAGGGGTTCTATTTCTATGGCCACTCTAAAGGATAGCTCTCATTTTTGCATAGAGTGAACTAAACATGACTTCTAAGTGTTTTTCTGCTGCTCAGATTATTAGTCAAAAGTGGCTGAAAAGTAAGCAAAAGTCTGACAGAGAAGGCAGAGGTAAAAACAAAAAGTAGGGACCAGCAGTTAGCGTAATGGCTGTGTCGCTGGACTCCCACGTAGTCAGCTGCTGTTTGAGTCCCGGACCTGGTGGCTTAAACTCATGCCAGGCACATGTGCGTGTGTGCCCAAGATCCCGAGAGGAGAATGGAGGAGAAGGGATTACGGTGTGGCCATCCCCCCGGGGTGGTGATTTCTTGCTTTGTCTCTCTATCTCTTGTCTGTCTGGCAAGTACACATGCCCTATAGCAAAAAAAAAAAAGTAATGGATGGAGAAGGAAAATTCCTCAGGCCCTTTTGACCAAACTGGCCATTGCACAGGGAAGAGAGACAGCCAGCCCTGCTCAGGGGATCCCACTGGTGGCGACCTCTCCATATCCGCTTGGGTCACCACCACTTCACTGGTGGGCTGAGAGGGGCCCCTCTAGTTGAGGACTGCCTTGGTCATCATCCATGCAACCTGCCCCGTTGCTCCTGTCCCCAGCCAGGCATTTGTCGGCCTCGTCTAGTCATGCCTCAGAGGCTCCAAACCTTCTAGGGCTTTCTGAGCATTGCTAGCCACTCCCAGTGTCCAGGGATGCCCCAGCAGTCCTGGACACCCCGGGTCTTTTTGGTGGAGAGGGAGGCATGCCCCAAGGACACACGTTCCCATCTGCAGATTGACCTGTGTTCCTACCGCATCCCCAGAACATTTGGGAGATGGATGGTAGCTCCTAATTCGCTTTACAACTCTCAGAGCAGTTTTCAAGCACTCAGGCTAAGTATCCAAAGCAATTTAAGAGACCCTGCCTGTGCAGACTTTTCCCTGCTGGAGATCATAAATCCTCTGCAGGTCAGTGTTTAAAATGAGCTTGAACCCGTGTGCAGCTCTAAGAGGATTTTTGGCATCATAAAATCCCTGTGGCTTAGTACAGACCTGCCACCTGGACCAGCTCTGTGCACTCTGATCCCAGGGAGGAAATTGGGCAGATTCCGACCCTGCACAGTGAAGTCAGTGAGCAGGCCTGTGTGGGCTTGCATCACGCAGCTGCTGGAAGGGTCGCGTGTGAGTAGGCTTTCTCCTGCCACAGCATGGCATACTCTAGTCCTGATGGCCTCTCGTTTCCATTTATGAGGGAAAAGTCATAGTGAGATGCCAGGGAAAATGCTGAGACCATTAAGAAGGTTCTCTTGGGCCTGAGGAATAGTTCCTTTTGATTAGAGCTTCAGGCTCCCACTGTGCTTCCCAGCCCTAAGCCTAGAAAACTTCACAGCAAGCCCGTTCAGCATCCCAGGTGCTCCCCAGACCTGGAAGAAGGGGAACTGGGGTTCATCAGGGTGGATAGCTCCCTGCTCCTTATTTTCTATCAGCCATGTGGTGCTGATCAGATGGTGGTGCCAGGGCCGTCTGGGGAAACAGCTCTCTCTCCCTGCATGTCCCAGATGCAGAAACCCTCTTGCTAGTCCGGATGGATGTCCAGGCTCCAGTAGGTGGGTCTCCTCTTAGTGTAGACCACATCTGTGTCCCTGACAAGTTCTCTGCAGCTCCTCCAGTACTCAAGCAGGTGGACCCCAGGTCACCCTGGGCTCAGTCCCAGGCTTGGTCTTCCAAGCAAGCCTGTCACCACCTGAGGCTGAGACAGCAGATGACTCCATGGGAGATGAACACTGCCCTGCTCTTCCCGGTCAAGGTGGCGCTGTCATCTACCCCGCAGGGCCGGGACACAACTGAGCACGCGGCTGTCCCCTTACAGTGCAGTGGTGGAAGTAGGTACCTGGTCACATGGGCGTGGTGCAGGGAGTGGCCCCCTCCTACTAGCAATGTCTGCCAATGCAGTGAAGCCAGGAAGCTGCAAGGCATGCCAGCAGTCATGCCCCTCCTGCAGGTGCTGGTTTTATGTTCCTGCAGTTCTGGTTTTATGTCCCTTTGTTCACACAGACAGAGGTGACAGTGCTTCTCTCCAGGGTTTCTCCCATCTCTACTAAAATCTACTCTAGGGACCAGCAGATGGCATAATGGCTATGTCGCTGGATTCCCATATAGTTGACTGCGGTTCAAGTCCTGGACCCGGTGGCTTAAAACTTACGCTGTGTGTGTGCATGCCTAAAATCCCAAAAAGAGGATGGAGGAGAAGGGATTGTGGTAGGCCATTCCCTCGAGAAGTGATTTCTTTTCATTTTTCAGGTCTCTTTGGTATGAGTATACAACATTCACATGGTTGAAACTGCAATCTGGATCCAGGCTTAATTCTTCTTTTTCAGATGAAATTACATAGTCCAATCACAATAGCACAACAGTCTTTAACCCTACAGATTACTTTGAATTTTAGGTTGGTTCTAGTTTCTCACTGTCATAGCACTGGGTTAAACATTATTGTTCCTAAAAACATGTTTCTTCTTGTGGATTATTGTCTCTTTCTACTAGTTTCTCAAGAGTGGAATACTGGGTTCTTTATCACCAAGGTCCCGTGGGCTGTGTTAACTGAGTTCCTAACTACTTTTCCATTGCTCCTGTGGCTTCCAGGTTACTGAGGAAACGAGCCTCATCCTCCAGACACTTGGGTACACGTGCACCTGCCGAGGCATAATCAACGTGAAAGGCAAGGGGGACCTGAAGACGTACTTTGTAAACACAGAAATGTCCAGGTCCCTTTCCCAGAGCAACGTGGCATCCTGAAGAGCCCCTGCTCTCTGGCAAGAAGACTGTATTTCAGGAAGGTGCCACGCACTTTCTGACTGCAATGTCCGTCCCTCATTTTTGATGTGTGTGCTCTGTTCTGTCCCATGGAGCCTTTGCAGACTCGTTCCTGTGACCCAGTGGCATACCATTTGGTGTCTGACGTGTGCCCAGATCGTTCTGCCACTTGCACTGTGCTTACTCCTAAGCAAAAGGACAAAGGAGCGAGTTGTAGACGGAAACCGTTCAGAGTACTAACCAAGAGCAGAGAGGTGAAACAAACAAACATTCTTACGGCAATAAAACTAGGGCGTGTATATTATCTTCTGGTGCATGTTCTTTTCTGGAAACTATGGTAGCTCGCCGACCGCATCCGCTAGTCCGATATCCAAACACACAGTATTTGTGAATATGTCGATTCTGTCGCCCACATGGAGTCTGTGCCCACCCACGTGTGTCATTGCCAGTGGCGTCCATGGGCCCCTGGGGATCTGTGGCTCTTGTCACCCAGCTCTGTTGTGTCTCCTGCCAGCAGCGTGCTGCCGTCCGTCACCACAGTTAGTCCTCAGAGCCTAGGACCCGTTTTGTACCAAACTCGTCTGATGTTTTGATGCCATCTGTCTTTTGTAAGGTTAATTCATTAAAAGTTTTATGTACTTTGGTTCTGCTGCCTGTATCCTTTCTTTTCCCTTCTTTCTCCTGTGGATTGCTCCATCCATTCTCCCTTTAGACACCTTGTTTCTGAGGGAGCACTCCACAAGCCAGTATGTAGATATCTTGGAGTAATTCAGATCAGGACAACGTTTGTAATGCAGATAATTGATCACACAACTTCCTGGAAAGAAAAAAAAGTATGCTCAGTGTATCTAGGGAACTGATTGTTAACAGCCGCTCTAGAGAACCTTTACAAGAAAAAGTACTTTGACAGTCAGAAGGTTCTTTACGAGCAACAGCACCGCTTGGTCCACTGCACCGCAGCTCCGATTCTCCTCCGCCAGAGCTGCCAAACCCGGCATAAGGACCATTTGGAACAACCCGTGCAAGTGAGTCATCGTGATAGTTTGAACTAATGAGAGAAGCTGCTATGCCTCGTAAATTATGTTTGAGGAGGCCTACGATGCCATAGAGCCAATGTTTGTATATTTTTAAAGACAGAAGATATGGAAGCATTTGTTCTTGTAAATCCAATACTATAGGGTATTTTTTATATATATTTTTTAACATAAAGAAATCATACTTCGGTACATGGTGAAAAATGAAGCCATCTTGCATAATCCAATGTTTAAAGGCAAAATTGCAAATACCAGCCTGGTTAGGCAAACTTATTCCCTTTCTGCAGCTCAGGACAGGCCCCTGTAGGGGGTAGAGGATCTGGCTGATCTGTTGAGCAAGCCGTTTACTCGTGGGAACTTGGATTTGAAGCAGATGTCTCCGGTTTGTTTCCTGGCTCTTGACTGGCTACACGACTTTGAACCCATCTCGCATTCTCCTCAGCATTCTCCTTGGTAGCTCACAGGATTGGCTCATGATTAAGCGAGCCAGTGACGAGAGCGCCTGGCAGGCCATGGGCTGACTCCTGCCACCACGTGGTCGCAGGCCGTACAAAGCTCCCGCCAGGAACGGGACTTGGATTTGGTTAAGATCACTACTGAAGCCAGACACCGCATCACTGGAGTGTGACTGCACCTGACTTGTTCAGTTTTCTGCCCTCCACTGGGAATGTTTGATCCTGTAATCACAACTCGGCACTGGCCTTAATACACCTGAAGCTCCAAACCAATGACTGAAGCCAGAGAAGTTTGATGGGGGCATCTCTCTTCCTCTGAAATCTGGACCAGGCTGTGAAGACTCTGTTGAAAATCGTCTAAGTTTTGTCCCCAATCCTTGTCATTCTTTCTCCCCTGCGTGATGTGCTTTCCTAAAGGCAGCAACCATTCTGCTTCCCTTGTTCTAGACGCATCAAGAACATCGTGGTGGAAATTTGAAAAATTAAAACCCATTCTTCTAATAGAGGAATTTGTTCTCTTTGACAAGATGACTGACAGGCTTCATTAGCTGCCTTCGGTTGTAAAAGTTGGAATGCCAAGAAGAAACCTGATTTCCCTACCTGCCTAATGAATGTGAGATCTCTTGAAATCTTGCCTAAGTCCAATCCTGCTTTTTAAAAGTAGGAAGAGTTTAAGGAAGAAAAATCTGACTTAAAGCCAATGAAAGTAATTTAGTTTGACATTTATTTTAGTCCCTTACAGATGCCTTGTCTTTTTGAATCAAGATTGAATGAAAATTTATAAAAGTTTCCATAACCTTACTTTATATATTTTCTATTATTATAAATAACAGTATAATGCATTCCAAGATATTCCAAGTAAACTATTTGTTTGAAAAAAAAAAGGCACCTACACTGTAAAACTGTTTTCAAAAAATAAAGAAATATATATTTAGGAGTGATTCAACCTTGAAATTGCCAGCAGTTGAGTGTCATGTGTCCTTAGAGAATGCTCCTTGCGGATTCAAAACAATAAAACCAGTAATGGAGGAATGAACATTGAAATTAATTAGATCACCTGCCCATTAAATGCTAAACTGTGGAAAATTCAATCATGGTTGGTGAGAGATGATTTCTTCCCAGGGATTGATTCATTTAAAATATGGCTGATATCTTAATACTTGAGTAAGTTTCAAATTATGTCCACAGTAAACATTTCCAACTTGTGTTAAAAGCAGCTGCTTCTAAACCCTAACTTCACAGCAGCAATTGTCACTGAGATTGCTGGGAGCTGGGCAGGGTACACGTCACATGTGCCACCTCACTGGGTCCCACACAGACACCTCCGAGTTTGAAAACTCCACTTTAAAGACGAGGAAACGTAGACTTGGAAGGATGAGATGACTTGCCCAAGCCACAGCGTGAAAATTTAGGAGCCCATATTTTACTGTCTTCGAACACCAAAGTCCAGTTGCTTCGTGTGACTTTGGCGCTTCTCCCTTGAAGAAAGACAGTGAGTATTGCTGGCCATCGCCAAGGCCCCCATCCTTATCCTGGCTGGGACTTTTGTCCTCATTTGAGCACGACTCTGTTATGTTTTTGAAGTTTCTTTTATTTGTGATACTGCATGCACACACAAGGGACAGAGAGAGAAGCACCCTTGATGGGGCTTCCCCAGCCCTGCAGCTCATCAGGATCATGGGCACACACACCCTGACATGTCTTCAAGGTGACTCGGGGACCCAAACTAGAGTCAGCCACGTGGCTTCTGGTACTGCAGCTCAATTTACTACCAACTGCACCCGCAGGCTGGGCCAAAATTCTGGTACTGCATCTTGGACCTCTAGAAGAGAAAGATTGTTTAGAATTCGATTGTGCTGAAAGGCAGCTTTCCCTACCTCTCCCTTGTGAGAAAGGAAAGCTCAAGGACTGTTTGTGGCTGTTCGTGTCATCGGGCATGAGCAGTTTCCAACAGTGTAGAGGAACGGAATGGCACACAACAGCACTGGTGGGACCGCCTCCCCAAGAGTCCTTGCAAATGTGGAAAGTCAGAGGAAAAAGCCACCCCAACCAGCCTCAAGTGGGAACAAAGTTTCATTTTATTCAGGTAATGCGAACCCAGTTCAGTGCACACAGTCACACTTGCTAGTCTTACAATGTCCTGACGGCATTTGGCCAAGTCCTTAGCCAAGAAGCATTAGAGGGCAGGCTGCCCACTTGTGGGCATTTGCCCCATCACATGCAGCGGAGGCATCCCTCCAGCCACCAGATGTTGTGAGAAGGGGAAACAAGCTCTGGGCGCCCCTGTGTAGCATCACTCTGGCAGAGCACCCCAACTGGCTGTGGGCCACAGGGCAGGCTTCAGGCCGGAGCAATGTGTCCAAAGCCGGGTGCCTTGAGGCTGGGGATGTCATTCTTCCTGTAGAAGTCAGCCCGCACGTGGTTCACCCGGCCATGGTCTCGATTCAGGGGCTCCACCGGCTGGTTGATGCGCTTCCCGTAGACAGAAGATGTCAGCACGCCCACCGGCCTCTCTTTTTCCTGGTGAAGATCATGGAAACAGCATCCTGGTACCCTTCAGTGTGGCTGGCCCGCCCAGCCCCCCAGGACCAGCATGCTCTCAGCTCAGGTGCCCCCCAACCCAGGGGACTAATCTGTCCTGCCCACCTGCATGCCCCCCACTTGTCTCCTTGTGGGTGCCTTCACTGAAGCCAGAGCGACTCTGTCCTCCACTTGGAGCCCTCTAATGTCCTCAACACCTTCAGAGGAGAAGACAAGAGCTTGCACCAGGCACCAGGTGCCCTCTGACTTCAGATTCATGGCCTGCCTTGCCCTCCCTCCATCCTCCCTCTGCCTCTTTCTTTCCCCCAAACACACAGAGCAGCTTTCCAGCTTCCGGCCCTGCACTCCACCTGTTTGCTCTTTCTGGTCAACTCGTGCCCCAGCTTTGGTCTTGCCTCGCAGACCACTGCTCAGAGGTCTCCGTCTTCCCCGCACCCCCCTGAGCACCACCGTCCCTTTCACTTCCCCCAATCCCTTACACCACTGATTTATTCTGCACACTTTTCACTGCCTAAAAATGGGTTCATTATTTCTTTGCCTTTTGTTTTTCCCTCCGCACATAAGAGTGTCAGCAGTCACAATGTCACATAAGGACAGGGCCTTTTTCTTAGTCCCAGGATGCTCAGGTACACATGAGAGGTGTTCAGAAAATAGAAAAGGATGTGAGCACTGCCAGTCACGTTCTTCTCAAGAGAAAAGCACCAACTTCACCTCCAATGCAGGATGCACTAACGGGAACAAAAATGACTAGGAGACAAATCCCCAGGTCCACGGCATAGGTGGTAACACGTGATAGTACCTCCTTTCAACAAAATAAAGATTATTAAAAGTGGCATGGTGGGGGACCAGCAGTTAGTGTAATGGCTATGTCGTTGGACTCCCACGTAGTCGACCGCGGTTCGCATCCCAGACCCAGTGCCCAAGATTCCGAGAGGAGAATGGAGGAGAAGGGATTGCGGCGTGACCATCCCCCCGGGGGGTGATTTCTTGCTTGCTGTCTCTGTCTTTGCCTGTCCATCTGGCGAGCGCACGCACCCTATAACAACAACAACAACAAAAAAGTGGCATGGTGGCATCTTGCCATGAGCAAAAGTTCAATGATCCAAATAGAAATCCAACCGGAAGCTTTTCTAACCGGAAGCCCATGTAACAGACTGTATGGAAAGTTAAGCTTCTCACATCGGCTTTTGGTGTCCTCAGACTAGACTTTGGCAAATGATGTCAGGGCATGAGAATGCAGTAGAAGGGCTACATGAAAGGCTGGAGTGAGGCATGATCCCCTGCACACCTGACCGTTGCAGTCCTGTCCCCTGCACACCTGACCTCTGCATATCTGACCCCCCACACGCCTGTCCCCCTGCACATCGGTTCTGCATGCCTTACACTGCACACTTGACCTCCTACACACCTGACCTCCTGCACACCTGACTTCTACACACCTGACCTCCTGAACTCCTGACCTCCTGCACACCTGTCTCCCTGCACCCCTGACCCCCTACATACCTCTTTCTCTGCACACCTGACTCCCTGCACACCTGTCCTCTGGCACTCCTGACAGTTTGCACACCTGTCTTCCTGTCCCCCATGGGTCTGATGAGTTTTGTGGGCACCCACCCATGCAGTTGATTATATGTAACCACTCCGTTGCAGAACAGAGTGGGAGATAAAGATGAGCCACCCCATATATGGTAGTCACAGTGGCTGGGTGACAGTCTTGTGTGTGCAATTTCAGGCCTAGAAAACCAGCATCCCTAGAGGAACTAGGGTAGCAAGACTCAGTGAAGCTGACTTGATTTATCTGTGGAAAGAACTTCTGAATTTTGTTCTCATTAAATTGTTTAACTCTGTAGGCCCAAACGCAGAATCAAAACATGAATACACAAGTCAGAAAACAGAGTAGAGGGAGCTAGGATGGTAGCTCGGTCTCAGCTGCTTGGCACAGCAAGACAGAGAGGACCTGCGTGAGGAGGCCTACATAGCCACTGAGCACAGGATTGCATGTACATGTGTACTTGCATGCACACATAGGCACATACATGCATGCATACACATACTTACCTGCATGCACACACATGCATACATATAATTGACACATACACATAGATGTGCACTGTATACATACACATATACATCCATGCATTTATACAGAAGTGTACATTCACACTGGTGTATGCATGCATGCATACATACATACATACATACAAATATACATGTATATACAGATATGCATGCACACATATACATACGCACATGCGTGGATACACATGTATACATTCATTTGCTTGTATACATGCATGCCTATACATACCCATATATGCCTGTGTATACATGTACACACATGTATTCATGAATATATATGTACACACATTCATATGAATACACATATACATACACAGATACACACATAAATATTCACACACTGTTTAAAATCTGTTAACCACTTGTAAATATCCTATCTTATTACCTCCTCGTTAATGTGAAGTCCCAGGTACTTGGCATGTTCTCTGTCATCTCGGTGCAATTTTTGGTTGTAACTTAGGTTCCTCTTAAAAACACAGTCATAGAGGGAGATGATTCCTGTCTAGGAATAAAGGAAAAAGCCATGGTTTATTTGCCGGCTGAGCCACTGACCCCAACGGAGTGCAGAAGCCAGCCACCCTCCCAGATGGGAGCTGGTGGTGAGTGGAGTTTCCTGAGAGCAGTAAGGACAGAGGGACAGTTGCCTCTCAGGGCAGAACCGGCTGCGGCCCCACAGGGGGAAGCCCAGGTGCCCACAGGAGCCGGCTGCTGAGAGGCAGAGGGTGGAGCAGGGCATTGTCCCAGCATGTCTCATCTCCTTGTTGCTTCCTCCCTGACAGAAGTGGCTCCTCGGCTCACTTGTGGAATCCAGTACTAGAGCTCAACCCTTAAAATAATAGTAAGTCATGGGGCCAGCAGGGGACGTGGTGGTTAAGGAGTTGGACTCTCACGTGGCTGACCGCAGTTCAAGTCAGTCCCATGAAACTCACGCTGGGCGTATGTACATGCATGCCCTAAATCCCAAGAAGAGAATGGAGGAGAAGGGATTGTGGGGCCACCATCCCCCTGGGGGGTGATTTCTTCCTTTTTGTCTCTCTGTCTCTTTTTGTCCCTCTGCCTAGTGCATGTGCCTATGGCAAAAATCTTTCAAAAAAAGAGAAAAGTGTGGGGCTGGCAGGTGGCGTGGTTAAGGATGCTGTACTCCCACATGGCTGACCACGGTTTGAGTCCTGGACCTAGTATAATAGCTTGCTTTCTCATTTTCCCCTTCTCTCCCTCTCTCTCTCTCTCTCTCTCTCTCTCTCTCTTTCACTCTGTCCTCCAATCAAATTAAAATAAATAAATAAACGTAAATAAAATATTTTTTTAAAGTGTGTGGAAAATGAAATGAAAGCACAAGTTCATTTAGGTACAAAAATCTTTGAAATCCATCCATAGATTTTTCATAACATGCATTTTTTAATGAACTGTTTGAAGACTTTGTATATGTAGGTGTTTCTCCATTTCTACTTTTTTTTATTTCTCCAATATTCTATAATATGTTATACTGCTTTGAGACACCAATGGTACCTGAATACTAAGACAACATAGCCGTGTGGGAGTTATACTTGAAGTTGCCAGTAAACAGTAGTCTACATGCTACCTTCCCTCTTGGGAGATAAAAAATATTTTAATTAAGCAGTCTACAACGTTTGCTAATTGTTATATATGAATATATAATATATATGCATGTATTTGTCACATCTATACACATAGAAATACATGCACAGCTCTGAAGTATTAGAACGTAGTAGAAAATAATCCCATTAATAACACTGTTATCTGTAATATCTCCAATTTTTCATCCCAACTTTTTCTGAAAACAAAAGTAAATATGCTTTCTTGGGTACCCAGTAGAAGAGAAAAGAATTCCTGTGTTGGTTGTCTTCAATCTTCACCTTGTAAGTCAGGCTTGTCATTTATGCCACTCCAGCTGCCTTGAACACTCCAGCAGCAAGCCCAGACACAACACTGCCATGGGACTCGGGAGCCTGCTCTCTAACCTACGCCTGGTTAGTTTGGTTTAATTTTTTTACTGGATCACGCTGCTAGAATGACTTCCTCCTGCTGGAGGACACGGAGGTGGAAGTAAAGTAGAAAAGATACACAGCATGTACGTAATATGCTGGAAAACACAGTAATGCCCATTCACACAGACTGCAGGAACTCGGAGCGCCTGGCAGGGATGCGAACAACCAAAGCAGAGTGTAGCTTCAACCGATCTTTTACGAATTGCACACAGATCATCCATCCTCTGCAGCGTACCCTGCTTCTACCGGGGGAGTGTAGAAGACACCCAAGATGTTACTACTGTCCTCGTGTGATTAGCCATCTGGTAATAAAAGCAACATTGATTTTTTTAAATAATCATATTTTTTAAGTTTATTTTGAGAGAGAAAGAATGAGAGAGATTGAAACAGGCACCCTCCATAATGCCTGTCCACACTGCGATCCTCCTCAGCCAGCTGGGACCCTCCAGCCAGCTAGGATCATGGTTGCATGTGTGCACACACTTGGTGTGTGTCAGGTGCCCCAGGCCCACACCGTGCTCTCCATCCGGCTCTAGAATCTGAGAGCAGCACTCCACCACCTGTGCCCCTGTGGCTGGTCCTAGAATTACTGATCTGTTTTGCCAGCAGACACGTTGCTCACCAAAGACAGAGACATAGACAGGAAGAGGGAGAAAGTACCTCCCAGTGGGGCGTGATCACACCACAATCCCTTCTCTATTTCTCCATCATGGTGGGATTTGGAGCTCACACACATGCAAACCTGGTGTGTTTCTCAGACTTCTGGATCTGGGTTCAAACCATGGAGTTGGCTGTGTGGAACCAGCTCCTTTTTCTTTTTCTTTTTAGAGAGAGAGATTTTGGCTATAGGATGTTTGCACCCAGAAAGAGAGAAAGTGAGAAATCATCCCCCCTCAGGGGGGATGGCCATCCACAACCCCTTCTCCATTCTTGTGGGATTTTGAGCATACACATACATGTACCCAGCGTAACTTTCAATCCTCTGGATCCAGAACTCAAACCACAATTGTCTATGCGCGAGTCCAGCGCCTTAACTGCCAGGTCACCTCCTGGCTGCAGAGAACAGCTCCTTTTATCACTAGGTCATGGGGTCATCCCCCTAGAATTATTATTTTAAGGTTTGTAAGAAACCAGGTGGCAACATGTGTAACACTGCACCCCTGTGGAATCTGGGTCTCCCTAAAGGCAGAGTCACCCTGTGCTACCCAAAGGAGGGAAACGCCTGCACAGAGGCTCTGCCTCTGTGCCACTGCTGGTCAGCTGGGTACCAGCGTCTTTGCACGTTGTCTTCATTCTTTTTTTAAAAAAAGAATAATTTATTTTTCCATTAGTGAGAGACCCAGAAAGAGAAAGTTGCAGAGACAGAAACACAGCAGCCCTAACAGGATCTTGACATCGCGACCCACACTCAGCTTCAGCCAGGCCTGGATCAGGGGCACTGGTGTACCTGCAGGCTCTAGGAGCTGTCCAAACCTGAGCCCAGAAGCTGCTGGTGTGGGCCAGCCTTGCAGAGCCTGGCACTCTACTGCTGTACCACTGCCCAGCTCCCACTGTCTTCAGCCTTACTCGGCCTCAGGGCATGTTCCCATCAAACCACCCTGGCCTCATGGTTCCTAAAGGCACCTGTTACACAGCCCCTGTATGCACAGGGTTAAGAAACAAAAAACCTTGAATCAGTGGAGAGCTGATCAATTATTTAGCATTTAGGCTGTATCTCCACATTACATTATAGACAAAATCAATTCTAGATGGGTAAGAAAATTAAGTGAAAAAGAAAACCCAGAAGGGACCACCTACACATAAAAGCAATGGGGAAAATGTCAAAAGAAAATATCAATCACTTTGACTATAAAAAAAAATCAGGCATTTGCTTATCAAATAAAATGGAAACTTTTAAAAACCCCATTTTACACACACAATGTGGGAGGTCCGGTGATGCAGAAGCTGTTTGCTGCTAACTGGAAGCACACTTTTCTGGGTGACCCACCAGATAGGGGGCCCCCGTAGCAGCACAAAGGAAGCCCAAACCCTCCATTCACTCGGCAGATAGCAGAGAACAAATTCTCCGGAAGAACCACGCAGTTAGAATGACTTCCTCCTGCTGGAGGAATGCAATTCTGCTAGTGAAGGCCCCAGGGTCCAGACCTTTCCTTTGAAGTTCAGAGCTACCGCCCAGCCTAAGGCCAGCAGGAAGGCAAGAACAAGGTCTTGATACTCCTCATCCCCATGCCACTCCTCCTCCACCCCCCAACCCCTAACACGCAGTAATTTAAGGAATTAGGGAATTACATGGCAGTGAACTCTTGGTCAGAGTCTGGTCTTCTCTGGGATCCCTCTTGACATGAACAACCCCATTGAGTGGGTGGGTTTGGGGGAGAAGAGCTGATCTCTAGGACCGGCACTCTGTTTTCTGAACGCTGAGCACCTTGTGCCAAAGCGGAGGTCACTGGTGGCCCTGGGTCCCAATAGTACTCTCTGAGGGACAGCTTCACCTAACGGGCAGCACTGACAGCCTGGGAGAGGGAGGTCCTCCTCGGAACTTTTTCCTCTTCTACTTTTAACCAGCCCAGCCCTGAATAAGCCCCTGGACTCTCAGCCCTGTCCTGGGAGGAAGACCCTGAAGAAGGAACAAAGGAGTTAATAACAGAAAAGAGAACGCAATCAGTGTTACCTGGATGAGAAAGGATGAGCATTCCCATATAATATGCAACTTTACAGGGGAAAATGCCTATTTCCCATCATTCCAATCTGGTCTCCAAAACCATGCAAAAGTAGCACTATGAAAATCGCTGAGCCGGCCTCACGACGCCGGGATTGGTCACCAAGCACCTGGCACTGCTTAGTCTTCTTCGCGATTCTCAGTGCGAGTGGATGTGAAGTGATCAGAATCTTGTTCGCCGTTGTGAGCAGTTTGCATATTCAGAACTGTCCAGAGTGAAAATGATTTTTCTATCGTTGAAGAGAAATTCATCAGCAGTTAGGTGGGCTCGTGTCACCATGCACCTGCCCATTGCCAGTACCAATGAGACCAGAAATCTGTCTTTTCCTGGATTGCCATTATTAACCCCTTTTCTTCCTTTTTCTCTTTCATTCCTTTATGGTTTGAAGCAAAATGATACTGATAAAACCCAACTGGGACTTAGATGCTGTCACAAAGCAGAGCTTCTCAGTTCCCTGGTATCATGCTATGAAAATCTCTCAAGGGATTGCCTCTACTTCACCCTTAATGTTGCTTCTAAAAAAACAAAGTGAAACACAAAATATCCCTTTTTCTGTGGTCGCTCCTTTTGCGCCTTCACGTTTTGCGTGCCGTAAAATTGCAGTATGGCCTTTGCTGGCTGGCTGTCGTGCTTGGTGACCTCCTGTCAGTGTACCTCTCCTGACCTTCTCCGGGCACTGAGAAATCACTCTGGTCTCCAGTTCCCAACCTCCGCAGCAGCACGTGGGTTCGCTACTGTGTAAGACACTGCCAGGCTCAGCGCAGAAATGGAAA